TAGCACGATGGTAAGGAGTGCAAAATGATATCTATTGCAAGTTCCTCAGGGAAGTTCACATTAAGCTTCAGCAACCGATCCACATACCTTTGCATTTTCTGCATGTGGCTTGTGACGGATTCCCCGTCCTTCATCATGGTTGTTATGATAGAGCATATGATTTCATACCTCTCCTGTCGTGCACTTTGATGGTATCTTTCCATCAGATCTTGGTGCATTTCAAAAGGGTAGAAGTCCTCATAGGACTTTTGGAGTTCCGTTGTCATGGTGGCCAACATGATGCATGCCACTTTTGTAGCATCCCTTTCATGTGCCCGGAAGTCAGCGATCTCCTAGGGAGTTGCAGTGGTCTCATCAATCTCCTTAAGCTCCTTGTCAAGGACATATTCTTTGTCCTCGTAGCGGGTAATCATCCTGATGTTTCTGATCCATTCATTGAAGTTGGATCCATCAAAAGTGACTTTCCCACACAAGTTCATAAGGGTAAAGGATCCATTAGGATTAGAGCCAGAAGCAGCATTGTTTGAAGACATCTGAAAGAAGAGAACAAGATTAGTTTAGATATTAAGAGAGTCCTTAATAAAACACCCAAATGTAATATTAAGGCTAGGATCCAATCACAATATATTATAACTTAGAAGAGGTATGTCGTAATCCAAGCTATAACATATTTGAAAGGTAGGTGAATGACGATTCACCAATTTCCACCATGAAAAACGAAATATAAATATTGGGTTTTTAATTGGTTCTTAGAAATTCCTAGATTCTTTTGAGATTCAATGAACTTTTCAAAGGCATGTTTCAATCTCGAGTGTGCCCTCCAAGTTTTGTGACTGGGATACCGAGGATCACAAAATGAGGTGTGAAGTAACCATGCAAATCACTTGGTACCCTCAAGGTTTATCACTCAATCGATGTGCCGGTAAACCACACACGCTCCACCGATGCTATGGTAAACCTTAAGTCACCCTTTACCTACCTTGTTAAGTCCAAGTTAGTGTGCCGGTTAACCACACACGCTCCACCAACGACTTAAACAAAGTGTAAAGTGTAATTTCATGGATTAGCACCTTATTCACATTTCCTAAAGTAACTAAGATTGGGAATTTAATAAAAGCATTTAGTTACTTTATAATATTCATCATACTTTTAATGAGAATTTATAAGTCCTTGTCTTACCCGTTCGGCTAACGACCCTCCACCGATCAAGGAAGCGGTGGGTGAGAGTGGACACCCATTAAGTTGCCATTTTATAGGCAACAACCTTATACCCCCCTTATAGACCGGCTTCGTGAATGAGGCGTACTAGCGGTAAGACGACTTGACGTTATACATATATATATTAGTAACTTATAATATTATAAAGTATAAGGGTTGAATTTTAACTTTTAAAATTCTAAGGGTTGGAACTAAAGTTTTAATCAAGACTTTGCATGTTCCAAAACTTGAGGGCAAGTTTTGTAAACTTCCAAAACTTTTCATTTCTTATAACTTATGAATTAATTGAGTAATAAAAATGAAGACTCTTCATTTTTATAACTCTTGTGTTTTTTTAATGGCTTTAATAAAAGTGAGACTTTTGGTTTTCCATAACTTGAGGACAAGTTATGGACTCCATTAAAACACATTATGATCATGAATTAAACTACCATGAAGGTTACAAACAATTCCTATGATCATCTAATCTTCATAAGTTCAAGAACATGAATATGAACACTTTCAAGAATCAAAAATTACACTTAAAAAAACTTGTAATTTTAATAATTGCCATTGTAAATGGATTAGCATAAACATTACACCATCTAAAACAAGCTTTAAAACATCAAAACAGTTTAGGGTAATGTTTCTAGTCCATTTCCAGCAACAAATGTGCAAACTTTCATACGAGCAGAAAACAGAAAAAACTATTTTTTTCAAGCTGTTTGCACACAAAAAAAAACAACAAACGAACCAGGCTCTGATACCACTGATGGGTTTTGAGCATTCTAACACTTCCTAAGTGTACATGCAACCCTAATAACCTTGGATCTATGTTTGTCTAATAATCATGCAAAGTTGAATTCCAAGGTTATATTCCTATCTAGCATACATGGGGAACATTTTTAACTTGAATGAAAGATAGAATAACTTACCTTGTTGTTGATTATGATCCTTGAAACCTTGTGAGCCTAGCACCCCAAGTGTGATGCCTCAAATGCTTCACACAACACCAAATGCAAAGGAGTAAACTTTGAGAGAATCTTACACTTGCAAAATCGGCTCTAGCCCTCTTGTTTCTTAGTGTAGCCTATTTTGGTGGAGAATGGGTTTCTTATATAGTGTTGACATATCTAGGGTTACACCATGTAAACCCTAATGTGTCATGACTCTTCATTTCCATGACCCATGGGTTTGTAACTCCCATGGAGCATCCATGGAGCATCCTATGGGTGGAACCCAACTTGATAATCCATGGAGCCTCTTAGCCCACTATATAAGATATGGAAGATTTACATAATCTACCCATATATTTAATTAGTTATCTTTTGATCACTTAATTAATTCTAAATTAATTCTTGATCAAACTAATTAAATAATATTATTAATATATTAGAACTTATAATATATTAATAAACCATAAGTGTTATTTCTCTCATTTTAGTTTATCCAATTGCATGGTGTCATGCAACCCAAATGGACCATGCCGGGTCGGGTCAAGTACATACCAGAAATAGTTATGGACTTAGACACCTTATCCAACAGTTAGGAGGGTGTCTTCTTCTAGCTTCTACATGAAATCTTGTGGGGCAATCTTTGTTGTTGGATTCACCATGAACAAAGTCATCAACTCTAGCAAAGGGCACAAGGGCAAGTATGTCCATATTGTCACGATGACCTTCTCTCTTTGACCATATAAGGTCAAATGCTGAGAATTCTAAAGTTGGAGGGTTTTGAACCGGAAGTGATAAAATCTCATCCCATCTTGCCATCTATATCAGAAAAAAAAGAGCATACATAATGTCAAGTTAATGGATATGGTTCCTTGAAAACAGGCGTTTGATTTGTTTATCTTTGGGTATGAGGGGATAGGTTTGTACTAACACTTTGCATTGTTGAATCCATTATTAACACTAACTGTTATGTTATAATATCCTTTACAATCGACAAGCTAACCTAATCAAACATGAACATATTAAATAAAGGTGAAGCCTTCATGATAGAATTAGATAGTAGTCTGATATTCCCTAGAAGAGCAGCAACAAAAACAACATGAATATCCAGAATCAAACCCTAGATTCCTTACCTCCGCTTGATTGCTTGTTTTCAGGGTTGAATTTTTTTTTTTGTCATTTGGAGATGAACTGTATTTAACATAACCGACAATAGTGAAATGAATCAGGGTTTAATTGATTGCCTTGTTGATTGAGAGAGGCAGTTGCGTTGTGGACGAAAGAACAAGTATCAGTGATGTAGGCGATGTGTGGAGAAGAAGCAGGAATGATTGATTTATAGGATAATCGACGGCGAGAACAGGGGTTTTGTAGAGAAGAGGGTTTAATTGACAACTTTTGCCATGAGATTTTTTCAATTATTTTGGAGTCTCGTACTTTTTAGAGTTTTTCAATTACTGTATTTAATTATTTTGCAGTTTCATATTTTTTTCAACCGGACACTATATACAAACAAACATAGAAAAGCAAAATGAAGATTTTTTTCCCCTGATGATAATTTTTGGATTTTGGGTTTACATTTTTACATTAAAAAAGTTCCATTAAAAAACTGGACCTAAGATTGCATATGTGTGAATTTATTTGGTGAAATGTGAATGTAACATAATAAATTTTTAGTCATTGTCCGATTCGTCAATATTTTTTTCCTTCACAATAAACCATTAAAATTATTAGTTACCTATCGCTTAAACCACTTTGCTCAATTTAAGACGCCCCTATGTTGCATTTTTTTACAATATATTTGTGTTTTCTTTTATAAAATTGAATATTCAACTTAGTTATCACCGTACAACGAGTGAGAAGGCAAAAAGAACAACAAGATGCGCTGCTAAATGTAGCGCCAGTTTTCAAGTATTTGCATTGTTGGTCTTGATTTGTATTAACTTTGCATTTGGTCCAAACGCCAAGCGTTGGGAATGGAACGTTGGCGTTGGAACGTCAGTCGTAAGTTTGTGGACGTCAGTCATTCGCACGCGGAGGATTAACCCTAATTTTTAGGGTTTGCACCCTATTTAAAGGTCATTATAGCATCAAAACATTTCTTATCTCTAGTCTCCGTCCCTTATAGCCCTCATTTCGAAACCCTAAGTGAGTGTGAGTGTTTTGAAGCCTTGGAGTAACATTTTGGTATCATTTTAGTGTTCTTGGTGGAGAAGGGAGATCTTTGGAGTGTTGGTGTTGCTCTATGGCATTTGGATCTGGAATCTTGGCATCTTGGAACACCTTTTGGAGGTATAAAGTTCAGATTTTGATGACTTTTTTATTAGATCTTGCTTAAGTGTAGTTTTATGTTCTTTTTGGTCCCAAGAAATTAGCTTTTGCGAGTTTGAAATGCTCCAGAGGTTTGGGTTGTCCTTTCAAGCATTTTAGAGGGTTAAGAATCATAAAAATGCAAGCTTGGACCTTGATACTCTTCCATGCAAGACTTTTGGAATTTTAGAGTGTGGTTTAAGTTAAATTTTGGTGTTGGTCTCTTTGTAGCCATGCAAAGTTATAAATGTTGCAACTTTATGACTTTAGACATTCTTTTAGCATTGGGTCTGAAGTTTGAACGTTAGGTCTTAAGCCATTAAGACATTGGTTAAGAATTTAGGATTCTATGGTTACGCCAGGCGTTTGGGTTAGATAACCATAATACATTGGCCATAAGTCATAAACTTGTACTATATGTACTGAGATAATTTTGAAAAGAACGAGATTTAGACCACTTAGTTTCCACATTGTTCTCAGGAAGAGTCAAATTATCAATGTGCAACCTGATTTCCTTAACAGATAAAAAAACATAGTCGTCTAAACACTATCTCTGGTGGTCTTGATCATTAGAAAAACGCACACCTTGCAGGCTGCAACAACATTAAAAGATCTACATGACAAGATCAAGATAAGTAATAAACAATCATGTAACTAATTCAAGAAACAAGATCCAAATGACCAGGCTATACAGAATCAACCCCATCAATCAAATAATCGAAACACTTGAAGAAGTGATAAACCTAATGATTCAACGATCAAAAGAAATCCAAATAAACAAACCCTAATGACCAAATAATCACATAATCAAAACACTTCATGGAATAAGATCATATACTTAATATTCAACCAAAAAAAAAAACAAAACCCATATCGGTAAACAAATCCAAATACAATTAATGATATCATGAGACACTAAAATATAGTAAAATTAAGTGAAGGAATGTATACATACCAGGTAACTCTTCTGGATCCCACTTGTAAACATCAACTTCGCCGATGATGTCTAGCTTGAGCGATCGACCACAGATCTTCCTCTTCAAGTAATAAAGAACCAATTCTTCATCAGTCGGATGAAATCTGAAAACAAATCAACTTCTCGAAATCGATTGCTCCAGACATCAAATCATGAAATCGATTGGTGCAGGGCGATGGTTGGGGGAAGACGAAAGCAACGAAGGGAGGAAGAATCAGGGTTCTTAAATCAATTACATAAAATCGATTTGAGAAAAATCTTACCTTTTTCTTTTATCTCCGAGTTTTGACGAAGCTGGAGGCAAAGGGGGTTGGCAGCGGTGACCGGACCAGAGGGCAGATGGTGGAGGCGGAAGGTGTGCACATTGAGAGAAGAGGTGAAGATGGAAGTCTATACGTGAGTAGAAGGAACGGTGGGCAAAAAAGGAACAAAGTCTCTTATTTTTTTTTTCCAGACTTCACTCTATATTTGAAATATTAAGAGGCAAAAAATAATAGGCTACCAAACGGTCTATATCTGAATTTTTAAGAGGTTATCTCTTAATTTTTCAATTAAGAGGTAAACAAACGGGGCCTAACTCAATGAATATGTAACCAAATAAGATGTTTATATAGTTTAAAATAAAGTACGAATAATGAAATACATGTTGAAAAACAAATAAGATCATTCCGTGAAACGTCACCCTTTTCACAAACAAATTTTTGATTTTTAATTAAAGTAAAACACTACTTTTTCATAAAACCTCAAGTTAAGAAAACTCATTTGTTCAATTACAATTAATTGAGAAAACAGAATATCAAGTGTATATAAAACATATGAACATATAAACATAATAACGTATCAATACATAACATATGCAATAATCACGAAGATAAATAGCATACATAATGGTCATCAGCCCACCCCCCCCCCCCGACATCGGGTTGTACCGGTAAGGCGGTAATCATAAGAACACATACAGATAACTAGCATATAATATACTCATCAAACCCCACCCTGCATCAAGCCCCGCTCGGTAAACATAAACACATAACACATGCAAGAGTCACGCAGACAGCAAGCATACTAAACATAACAAACCATGGGCTGGCATTGGTGCCTTCGACCCGCTAAATACAGTGAGGAAACTCACCTCGCACTGTCGAATCATTCAAATAATTCCTGGCTGCTGGCTTAACAGATCCCCGCACTATCAATCACAAGTTAACCATCCATCAATAATCAGATCCGACTCATACAAAGTGTCCAAACCAGGGTAAAAGACCTTTTTACCCTTTTCATAACTTGGCCCAAAACCAAGGCCCCATTCAACAATCCAAAGTTCCAATCTCCAAATAAACACCTAAGGCCCAAAATATCCCATGGTCAACCCTAGTCAAACTTATGGTAAAAGTCAAAGTCAACAGTCCATGTTGACCAGACACATCGTGTTGACTTGCAAACACGTCGTGTTCTTCTATCATCTAGATAATCGGGAAAACCCCAGTCAACACGCTATGTTGGCTTGCAAACACGTCGTGTTTGCCCGATTTTCCACAGCTTAATACATTAAGCTACTATCTCCGATTCAAAGAGCTCCAAAGCTCAGATCTAAACCAAAATGAGACTTATAAGGGTAAAGTTTCCATCTTTACCCATAGGGACTACTAAAAGGTCCATAAACCCAACCTACAAAGCTTGATTATGCAACGGCTTAACCAATAAGCACTATATCCATAAATACATAGCCCCAAAACACTAATCTAACTTCCTTGAGCTGGAAAACCATATAAAGTTGCCAACTTTACGTTTATGCATGTCTAAATGAAGCTCTTGAGCTTAAAAGGGACTTAATAATTGACTTAATGCATGCATGACACTAGAAATCTCATAAAGCTTGCACCTTTATGCTCAAAGGGACCAAAACAAACTCAGATATGGAATAACAAGCCCTTAAACGACTTCACACTCTCACCAACCCAAAAAGGGATCAAAAGCACAACAAGGCACAAAAGGAAGAGATCTTGGAATCTAAAAGCCAATATTCAAACTTGATACCTCATAACGCTTTCCCACAAGATGATGATTTTGGATCCAAAGCCTTTTCCCCAAGCAAAGCAACTTCAAGATCTCCTCTTCCTTCACAAAGCCCAAAAATGAGCACCAAAAGCTTCCTATTAGCTCAAAAACACCACCAAGAGACTTAGGGATCAATTTTAGGGTTTTAGTGTCAATGGAGGCTCGTATGGAGATCAACCCTTGGGGATTAAAGAGATTATATAGGGTGCAACATCCTAAAAATTAGGGTTTCCTTCCCAGCTTCCAACACGTCGAGTTTAGACACCAACACGTTGTGTTGACCTTAATGAGAACCATACTTTTCCTCAACTAGAGATGTCGTGTTGGTTCCTCCAGTACGACGTGTCCAGTCCTCCAAAATGGGATTCATTCCTTACAATTGCTCCTCAAGATTCCGGGCGTTATAAGTACATTATGCCACTACCAACAGATCTCCACGGGATGCATAGCTATATGTAACTAGAGGTAAGCTAGACATTCAAAAAAGGGGATCCCATTCTAGAGCCACAAACAAACAAGGAACATAAAAGAAATCCTAGATCAAGAGTTCCTAGGCTATCCTAAGTGATACATATGTTGGATTAGTGTCTAACACTACAAATAAAATTACATTTAGTGGCACAAAGCTTTTAGTGTCACATATTTTTTGTGCCACTATATCATGTTTTTAGTGGCACATATTATTTATTGTTTATTTATTTATTTTGTGTGGATACTTTATTTACTTAGCGTTGGAGTTTTAAATTTTGATGAAAACTCAAGCGCCAAGTATTCGCGCTCCCTTCCCTTAGTGTTAGGGTTTTGAAGTTTGATTAAAATTAAAAGCACTGACCATTCAAGAAAAATGCCCACTTCCTACTTTGTCTCTTACAACCACAATCTCACACCCATCTATTTCTCTTCTCCAATTCGACGGGCAACAGTTGGCTGTCGACGACCCCTCTGCTACTCCGACCTCCACCGGTCTAACCGTCACCCACTCATTTATATGAAGCTCAGACAAAGGGTTCTCTGTCAAAAGTGAGGTATCTCTCAACCATCTATTTCTCTTCTCCACTCCGATGGATGAAAACCGGCTTCTGAAGACCATGTACTCACTCCGACGGCAATTAGAAGGTGTGAACTTGTTGTAGTGCTTTCTCTGTAATTATGAATATTGTTCCCTTTAATATTTTATAACTTATGTGTGTTCCATCTGTATGACTAAATGCTTATAACCGAATTTTGTTTTTATCGTAGTGGTAGAGGATGGCCTTATGTTGTTTGGTTTTGACTAAAGAAATAAGATCCACATTAATGCTCTGTATTCTTACAATATATTAAGCTGAGTGAAACTTTACCTTTGAAGAAATTATTTCTTAATGATATATAGATTAAATCGTTGGCATCCTTTGAATGTTAAATGTATTATGCTCAAGTATCTACCATCTTTAAATATTAAACTTATGTGTACTTTGTTATAACAATCTGGAGTATTTAAGTACCAATTATATTTAAGTCATTTAAACTTATATTGTTTGATCTTTCTCAGGTTTGTGTTCATATAAGAACAATTAAGCACCTCTAAAAATCTTACAGGTATAGTTTTCCTTCCATTTCTTCTAATTATAAGTGTTTACTAACTCTTCATACTACAATTCCTAAAGGTTATTTGAATATTTCTTTGAATTTGATATAACATTAGTGTTTGTTGAAGTAGTTTTGTAAGGAAGGAATGGTTAAGTCTTATGTTATATTGAAACAGGTGTTGGTAAAGCATTCATGATGTTAGGGACAGTTAAGAATCCATGTGTAATTGCTGAGAATCTTTAGTCATTCACTTGTAAGTTTTTCTTTACATTCATGGTGTTTTTGTTTTACTAAGAGATTAAATATTTGTGAAGTTCTTTTGCATGAATTATTAGAAATTTATAAATCTATACCATATAGATGTTTGGTATAATATTTAAAACGTGGATGTTATCACCCACTAGTTGGTTATGGATGCTTTGGAGAAAATCAACCCCATGAAGTAGGTAAGTCAAATGGTTTGAAACCAATCATAATTTCATCCTTAAAAACAATAAAACTCTATATAGGAATTAAGTTTTCGTCCATTTTAAAATTGAAGTTTTCGGTTGATAAGCCCACAAGTATAGAACTTAAACTCAATGCCTATTATGCACCCGTAACATCTTAACTAACAATAGAAATTTACAAACCTCTGTTGTATATATGTGTATTTATCCAGTTTACAGAAACCTTTTTTTTATTATAAAGGAGAATAAAAAGAGCAATACTACTTTAACAACCACTTAAGACATGCATTAACTTTAAACTTTACGTATTTCATATTTTTTTCTTCATCATTTTTACTTCCTCCCTTCTAGTATTATATAAGTTTGTACCTTCATAATGCTTGTTGTATCTAATCTCATTACATTTGTAATTGTTTAATTATAGAGAAAAATTGAAACTCATGATACTGAATTGTTAATTATAAAATTCCATATTATTAACTTTATTGTCATCTTGATTACACAGATGGAGCCGATATGGATTTTAATAGACTGTCATTTTTCAAGAGTCTAATATTTGGTCATATGAAAGTCCCTGTAACAATTGTAAGTACTTTTACCTAGATAACCAAGTGATCCATGGTTCTTTTTATGTCGTGATTATTAGTGGTATTCTTACATATTTTTATGCGATTTATTATGTTTTTTTATAGGCAACTGTTCGTATGTTGGATAAACAAGATGAGCAATTATGAAAAGTTTATCTTCATGCCAACTTTCGTGTTTCTTCCCAATATGTATTTACTTTGATAGTTTAATGTTTTGAGTAATTACTAGCACAATGTTTAGAATTATTAAGCCATATATATATATATATATATATATATATATATATATATATATATATATATATATATTTTAATATTAAAAATATTGTTGTAAGACAAGTTAAGTTTTAATTTAAGTAATGCCTTTTGTGTTTTGCATTTATTATTTTAATTATTTTTTTGTTAGTTTATATTCCATTTAAATGTATGAAAAAATTGGAACTAATTTTCAGTATAAACGTTTTATGGTAAAAAAGCCACTAAAAACATAAAAAATTGTTTTTATTTTAGGAGTTATATAATGACATAAAAATAGTGCCACAAAAACCGAAAGTGTTATAGTGGCATAAAAAAGTGTCACTAAAACCCATAAGGGCTGCAGCGATACAACCAAAAAGTGTCACTAAAAGCCTTTAGTGGCAGCGCTTTTAGTGGCACTTTTTTTTGTGCCGCTGATTGTCAGAAGGGTCTTTAGTGGCACTTTTTTGGTTTTTAGTGGCACTTTTTCTGTGCCACTAAATGTCATTTTATTTGTAGTGTAAGTCCATAACTATTTTGGTATGTACTTGACCCGATTGTGAGCATGTTCCTTTTGGGTTGCCTTCACCACATCGAATTTATAGGATGAATTAAGAAGAGAAAGCTTTAATTATGATTTATTAATATATTATGAGAATAATATATTAAAGGAGAAATCATATTGTTTAATTAATATTAGTCAAGAATTAATTAAGAATTAATTTAGTGGCTAAAAGAGATTAATTAAACTTATGGGACTGGAGTTGTAATTATAAGATAATTGCAATTGGGCTATGGATCACCTAAGAATAATAGGTTGGACGAATTCTATGGGAAGCCCATTAGGAATTCGTCCAAGGGATATTCTAAAGGGGTCCATGGGCTGCTTAGGGCCTAAGCAGTCAGATTAGGGTTTCCTAAGTTCAAAACCCTAATAGCCTAAGTATATAAAGAATCCCTAAGCCCAAAAAACGTGGCTATCCTTTTGAGAGGGTTTCTGGACGTCTTTTGGGTGCTCTTCTTCTTCTCTTCTTCATCCAGTTGCTTAGTGGTGTTTGTGACTCCATTAGAGGTGCAACACTTGAGGGACTAAGCTTTCTGAAGCCAAGTAATTGATTGTTATTGCTACATAACAATCAAAGGTATTCTCTAAACCCTAATTCAGATTATAATATGTTAGATCTAGGGTTTATAGCTTTGGATATTCAATTGCATGTTCAATAGACAAACTAGACCCAAAAGCTATTAGGGTTTGCATGTACACCATAGGAATGATGTAGTGCTCAAAACCCATCAGTGGTATCAGAGCCTAGGGCTGTTTGTTAGTGAATTTGATGCTTATTTGATCGAAAATTGGCTGAAAATCAAAAATTTTGAAGTTTTTAGGCTTGACTCGCCGAGTCAAGTGGGTGACTCGCCGAGTCCATAGTGAACTCGACGAGTCCAAGCCAGACTCGACGAGTCAGAGGGTCAGATGGAGCAAATTTCGGGATTTTGACCTGTTTTGGCTGTGGATAATTACCTAAAACGTTTTTTATTAATAAAATCTGAATTTTATCAATATTTGGAGATTATCTTTGCCAAAATAGAAGATAATTTGTTAAAATTTAGATAATCATTTGTTTTATTAGATAAAGATTGATTATTTGTAATTTAGATTTGAATTATCTTGTGAAAATAAAATTAAAGATCAAATTAGATAATTATAAATTAATTGTTTAATTTTAAATTATTTGCAATTTGATCTTGTGTGTTTTGAATAGTTTCAAAACTTGCCCTCAAGTTTTAGAATTTAAAATTTTGATTAAAAGTTTAATTTTGAAAGATTTGAATTCTAAACCCAAATGTTTTGATAAAGTTCAAAACTTGTCCTCAAGTTTTGGAATTTAAATTTTGATTAATAGTTTAATTATGTAATATTTAAATTCTAAAACCCTAGTTTTTTTTGAAAAAGTTCAAATTACACCCTTATGGTTTTATTAATTAATTAAGGTGTATAATTAAAAGAGATTTAATAAACCCATAAAGTTTTGGTTTACATTTAATTAAATTAAAAGTATAATTTATTAAATTAGACCACCTAGTATTTTAAAAGTGTAAAATACACCGTATACTATATATAACATCAAAAGTCTAATATTATATATATGTATGAGTAAACAGTCAGTCTTACCGTTAGTAGGCCTCATTCACGAAGCTGGTCTATAAGGGGTGTTTAAGAAAAAATTGCCTATAAAATGGCGATTGAATGGGTATCCACTCTTACCCACCACACTCTTGACTAGTGGAGGGTCGTTAGCCGAACAGGTAGGATAGGACGAAACCTTCCATTATAAGTATAATGAAGTACAAAGTAACTAAATGCTTTTACAAATTCCCAAATCATATTTACTTTAGGCAAAATGTGAAATTGTATGCTAATCCATGGAATTACACTTCACACCCTTGCCAAACGTTAGTGGAGCGTGCGTGGTTAACCGAGACACTAATTTGGGGTTGACATTGGTAGTGAAGGGTGGCTCGATGTTTATCATAGATCAATGGAGCGTGTGTGGTTAACCGGCACATTGATTAGGTGATAGTAGCATTGAGTGCATCACGTAGATTCGTATGGTTATTCACACCTTGTTTGTGATCCTCAGCATCCCAGTCGCAAATTTGAAGGGCATAATCGAGATTAAACATGCCATTGAAAAGTTCAATGAATCTCAAAAGATCTAGGAGTTTCAATTCATTTAAAACTTAAACTTCTTTTTCGTTTTTCATGGTGGAAATTGGTAAATCGTCATTTACCTACCTTCAAATATTCTGCAACTAGATTACGGCATCCCTCTTCTAGGTTGTAGAGTATTGTGTTCGATCCTAGCCTTAATAACTCATTTGGGTGTTTTATTAAGGACTCAATCAACCTAACTTGAATTTTCTCCCGTTTTGTAGATGTCTAGTTCTGACAATCATGGTCTTCCTGAATCCTTTGAAGATGATATTCCATGATATGATCGAGGAACAAGAGATCATGCTTCACTTCCTCCACCTCCTCCAATTATTCTCCCTAACCCACAAGTTCAAAGGCTTGAAAAGTTCAAGCTCACTCAAGCCCTATTGGCAAGTAAACACGAAGATGGGAAACATGTGTGTGCACACGTCTTGGAGATAAAGTCACACATTGACAGGTTAAGGATGTTGGGTGTCGAGATTTCAGGTGAGTTGGCTGTTGACTGGGTTCTTCAGTCGCTTCCTGAATCATA